TCCCCTGTGAAACCTACCTCCAGAATGTTTTATCTTATAAAACGGACAGGCTGTCTTCATTTAAGCCCTTCCCACTCTCTGTCTCTCTTAGGATCTTATTCATAGAACCTACGAAAAATTAGACTTTCTAGAAGTGGAAGCAGATTATTTGAATTTGTATCATTTTATTTTATTATACTGGCATGTAAAGTTGTAAATGTAACCTAAGTATTGTATTAGCTCTATCCCATAAATTGTGATACACTATCTTTCAGTTCAAAATATTTTCTTCTTTCCCTTGTGATTTTTCTTTGATGCAAGAGAATTATATACTAAGTTTGCAATTTGGGGATGTGCAGAAAAGTGTTACCCTAGAGGTCTGAGCCTGCTCTCCTTGGGAAGACTTGCGTGTAAAGCCGGCCCTTGGCTGTGGTTTTGCAATTTGGATTTTGAGAGACTTTCACCATTCAGTATCAGATAAGAACAGGTCCCTGTACACATGAATGCAGTTTGTAATAAGTACCTGCTTTCCTTGGGGAGGGGCCTGGAATTTTGGTACATGCTAGGCAGAAGGTTGTCATGTGACTGACCTCTGAGAAAAACGTAGACACGTAGGTGCAGGTACTCTCGCTTGGTGTCCAACACTGCACTTGTGATTCTTTACTTGAGTAATTGTTTCATGTCTGACTCCATGGGGAGAGACTCCTTGAAATCTTACATCTCTTTCCCTCCAGACATTGCTTCATGATCCTTTTCCCTTTGCCAGTTTTGCTTTCTACCCTTTCTTCGGTTATATCCAATTTTCAGTTAACTCTTCAAATAAACTTTTCCTAGCTAATATCACATTTTTCTTTTTGACATGTAGTTTTCATTTCTGTGCTAAAATTCCCACCACACATATCTTCTTCCTTTTTCACTATCTCTTTTCACATACTTTTCATATTTAATTTTAAAGCATTTATCTCTTAATTGTAATACCTGTCTGCATCTCCTTGTGTTGATGTTTCTTTTGTCCATACATCACATATTCTTTCCTTGCACATGTTACAGTTTTTATTTTTGTATGCCACTCACATTGTGAAAAGAACAGCCAAATCTGAAATTAAAAAATATTTATCTTCAGAAAAGGGTACCCCTGTTCTCTTGATAGGATTCTAGTGTAGGTATCTGAGTCAATCAAATCTATATTTACCTAGGTGTAGGCTTTTTTTCTTTTTTGGAAGATTTAGAGTTTGTATAAAACTAACTTCAAACATATGGAAGTAGGAACAAGACTTTCTTTTGATCAGGAATTGCTGATGAGACTGCAGATAACTTTATGCTTTGTAGCTCAGCCACTGGATAACTCAATCATGAGAATCTCTTCTGATTCTTAGTCCAGCTGCCAGCTTTTGGCAGTTGATGAGTTCTCTTTTTACACCCCCAAACGGCTCTGTCTTTCTCTGAGTGATCGCTCCCTTTTTCCTGCTGCTCTTCCTCATCCTTTAGAGAAGAGCTGGAGAGTCCTCTACGGAGGAGTATCTTGGATGAATTTATCCAGGGTTCTGTTACCCTTCCCTAGCCATCAGCAGGTCATGGTCTTACTTTGTGAATACGGACTATTTTACACAGTCCTTTTGGTTTGGATGTGCTTTATTTATTTGCTTCATTTCTGAGACTTGGACTTTCAGTACTGTGTCGAGTAAAATTGGTAAAATCAGGTTTCTTCCTGATTATGTGCAAAAGCTTTCAGTTTTTTGTTGTCAAGTACAATGGAATTCAGTATGGTGTTAGCTGTGGGCTTGTCACATATGGCTGTTACTAAGTTGTGGTAATTTCCTTATTTAGAATTTAATAAAAATCCCAAGAATATAATTAGGGAAAACAATCTTTTCAACAAGTGGTACTAAAAGCACAAGATTTCTATACATAAAGGAATGAAATTAGACCCCCTATTTTATACTTTACACAAATATCAATTCAAAATGGATTAAAGAGTTAAAACTTAAATGTACAAAATCCCTACAAGAAAATATAAGAGGAAAGTTTCTTGACACTGGTCTTGGCAATTATTTCTTGGATATGACACAAAACTCACAAGGAACAAAAGCAAAAAAAATAGAGAAATGATACTGCATCAAACTAAAAAGCTTTTGCACAGCAAAGAAAAGAATCACTTGAGTGAAAAGTTAACCTACAGAACAGGAGAAAATATTTGCAAGTCACATATCTGAGAAGGAGTTAATATATACAACATAAAAGAAACTCCCGGAAGGAGTGGTAAGGAGGTACGTGCTCGTGGAGATATGCACAGGCAGGTGGGACCACAGGCAGAGGTGGCAGTCATAACCATGGGAGTGGAGGCAAACTTGAAGGGTGCACTCACAGAGTGAAGTTATCAGCTCTTTCTGCAGACAAGAAGCATCTGAGGAGTATGCAAGGTCCACAGACATTCTCAACTCCACCTCAGATACTGTGAATCTATATTTTTAAATTGTTCTCCAAGTAATTCTGATGCACATCACTAGGGGAGTACCACTCATACCGTGTGTGTGTGTGTGTGTGTGTGTGTGTGTGTGTGTATGTGTGTGTGTGTGAGACACCTGATCCAGTGTGGCCAATGGGTAAGCCCAGGCTACGGATGATTTCAGTTGTCAACCCAGTGAGAAACTTGGACCCAGACTTGAGTTCTCCTGATGGCTGAGGTTTTCGCAGACAGTTCACAGCTGAGGGGAGTGGAGGAAGGTAGCAACTTTAAGTAGACTGTCCAAGTCAACCAGGTGGAAGATGAACAGAGTCCCCACACAATTTTAGAAAACTCTGTGCTTAAAGTCAGGGCCTGCAGCGTGAGGACATTCCACTGTGCATGCACATCATTTGATGCCTCCGGTGTTCCCCACTCTCCTGCATTCTCTTGGCTTCTGGCTCATCACTTAAAACCTAAAGATATAAGAAAATGTCCCAGTTAGTGAACTCTCAGTGCTGAGCCTTGGAAACCATTAGCATCTATCTATGGGGCTAGGAAACTGAGGAGAGGTTTTGTTTCTTTCTCTCATATTTACTGAGCATGTACCATGCACTCTGCTCAGCACTAAAAGATAGGGATGAGGAAGGGAGCGGGGGACATCCTGCTGCCAAGAAATTGGGCCTCCCTGTCCTCCAAATCTGGCATCAAGGACAAGTCTCTATAGCTGCCTCAGTGAGGACAGAGAATAATATGTGTCTGACTAAGTCTCCTTCAAGTTCCGTCCAGATGCAAGAAAAGTAGCCAAGGCCCAAGGAGAAGGCTTAGAACTCCTGCACTGGACTCCTGTGTGTCCCTATCAGTAGGCCTCACTGAGCAGTGCACTCCACACTAGGGCTTAACAGCGGACTACTTAGGGCACCTACCATACTTTCCTAATCATTTGGTTGAAGGCCTCTAATGTCAGAATCAGAGTCCTAAGACTTTTTCTAGATTTCCACAATTGAAATCATTTGGGTAGGGCTTAGGGGATCTGCACATTTAATGAGCTCTCTCAAGAGACCAGGTGATTAAGTACAGCACCCAGCTGAGACTCCCAGCATTGTACATAGGAAAGAAGAGGCTCTAGCTTAGCTTTGGGAGATCAGCACACCAAGAAAACCCCAGGCTTTTGGTCTACGAGAGCCACTGCCAGCTGAAGTAACATTTCTCTCCCTGTAGAACCCTGTCAGTTTATGTGCATGGGATACTTGGCTCACTCTAGTTTGCTGCCATCGGACAGATGGGCTCTACACATCACTTGCAACTTAACAGGACAATATTTCACTTTTTCAGGCAAATATTTCACTTTTTTGAGTTATAGTTTCTTACCATGAAAATAGCGGGTAATACCTGTTTTCCCAAGTTTGAGAGAATTGAATGTGATAATGTATATAAAGCATTTATCATGGTAGAAATAAAACACCCAAATAATTTTTGTTGATCTCATTTTATCAACAGACTGATCTCCAGAGGTCAAGAAACATGTTTTTGTTTTCTCCTACTGGGTTAAGGCCATAAAGAGCACTTAGTAGTTCAATTGAAGAAAAACTTCTAATTCTGCTGGTGCTAACTGAAGACCTGGTATTTCCACACATATGAAGTCTATAAATACATAATCATAAGAAAAGAATTGGGATGGAGCTGCCCTTCTCCCATTTCTACATCCCCCACCTTCATTCCCTCCCACTCTTTCCTGTCTTCATATATGATTTATTTTCTTCTTCAGGAGTATCTTTTAGTTTATATGGCTAGAAAAACACAAGCTAGTGAGTAATGAGTACTAGCTGTGTGTCGGGCACTGTTCTCTCACAGTCCAAATAATCCTTGGGGGTAAACACTGCCATGACTTTTACTTTATGATGAGTAAACTGAGGGTCAAAAGAGGTTAGATGACTTGTCTCCCAAGTCATAAAACTTGAACATGATGAAACCAGGAAAGAGTCAGGCTGACTTTGTGCTGATGAGTCTGAGAGAGAGAGAGGGAGAGGGGGAGGGGAAGGGAGAGTGGAAGGGAGAGGGAGGGAGAGGGAGAGAGAGAGAGGGACAAGGAGAGGGAGAGGGAGAGGGGGAGGGAAAGGGGGAAGGAGAAGGAGAGGTAGACGGGGAGGTAGAAGGAGAGGGAGAGGGAGAGGGGGAGGGAAAGGGGGAAGGAGAAGGAGAGGTAGACGGGGAGGTAGAAGGAGAGGGAGAGGGGAGGGGAGGGGGGGAAGGAGAGGGGAGAGAGAGGGAGAGGGAGAGAGCACATGTGCTCTACTGTGTGTGTGTGTGTGTGTGTGTGTGTGTGTGTGCCCTCAGTGTGAGAAAGCATGGAGTGCTTGCCTTGTACACCTCCTCTCCCAGCGACCCTGCAGGGAGCCACCCACCTTGTAGCACTGCATGCCATACTCCTTCCCCCAGCTAACAGGAAGAGGTGTTCTTACTGTCCCTCAGGAGAAGGAGAGAAAGCAGGAAGGAGGTCCAGGCAGGAGGATGAGTGCAGATCATGGAAGGCATTGAACAGTTTGGCCTCAGGACTGTTCTTTTCCTTCCTTGGCGTTGTATGTGCCAAGCCTCCAACACCTCACAGTTGATGCTTCTCAGAGTGCCTGTCAGGTCCAGTGCCTGATGGGCCCCTTGTGCACAACACCAGGTTCCCCAGGTTGTGGGCTGTGGATGTGGACCGGATGAGTGGAACAGCAGGCTGCCGGATCTCACCCTTGCAGCCGAGTCACTCCCAATTGTTCATGGGGCTTTTAGCCAGCTAATGTGCCTCAGACCAGGTTGGAGTCCCTCTGCCTGGATGGGGTCAGGGCATTAACCACAGGCAGGGCTTGACTCTGCAGCCCCTCTGTATGGCTGCCCTTGGAAGCCTCCTGAAAGCATCTCTGTGGCGTCCAGAGCGAGGAGAGGATTCTCTTGTACTCCCTGCGGAAGTTCTGGTTCAGGAGCCCATAGATAATAGCATTAAGGCAGCTATTGAAATAAGCAAGGAAGTAGCTAGTGACAAAGAGCCCCTCTGGGATCTGGGGAGCCATTTGTTCTGGGTTTATGGCCACGACAAGGCCGATGCAGTTGAGGGGGGCCCAGCAGATGGCGAAGATCACGAACACCACAAACATAGTTAGAAAGCTCCGCACATCGCTGGGCCGGATGCACAGCTTGTTCTCTGACTTGGCCTTCCTGCGGGCTTGAAGTACCAGCACCCAGATTCGCAAGTAACAGAAGATCACTACAGCAATGGGGAGGAGGAAGTGGATGACCACCACAGCCATCGTGTACTGGGCGCTGGCGGTCTGGATGAAGGTGCAGGAGTAGATGCGAGGGTCGTATTCCAGAGATCCCACGAAGAAGTTGGGCACTAAGGCCACCAGGGTGAGGAGCCAGATGAGGCTGATGTAGACAGGGACGTGCCAGTGCCTACAGATCCGGTGATAGGCCACGCTGTGGCAGATGTAGCAGTAGCGGTTAATGGCGATAGCAGTGATGTTGAAGACAGAGCCGATGACACTCAAACCCATCACAAAGGCGCTGGCTTTGCAGTGTGCTTCCCCCAGGGCCCAGCCATCATAGAAGATCGCCAGGAGGGTCAGTGGGTAGGGGTAGAAGGCCACTACCAGATCAGCCAATGCCAGGCTCACCAAGAACAAATTACCTGAAGCAGGAAACAGAGCAAGAGTTAGCAGTGACCCTGTAATTCCCATTTCTGTAGAATGTCCTGTCCTTCAGTTACTCTCAGCACTAGAAGTGGGAAGCAAGTGGCATTTAGAGACAGTGCTGAGGACTCAGATCGCATCTCTGCTATGCACTGTGTGACTGAGGTGAGTTACTCAGGCTGTCAAACTCACCTTTGTTGTTTGCAAGGTGGGGATGGTACGTACCTGGCAGCAGAGCCATGAGACCTAAATAATGCACAGTGCTCAGGGGCACAGTGGATGCTCACAAGCGAGAAACATTCCACAATAGGCAGAGGTGCACTGTTTAAGCCTTTGCACTGTTTAAGCTCCAACAAGGACTGGAGGAAGAGAAGCTGAAAGTCAGGAGTGCGGATTCACCACTCCCCTCTTTAAATCCAGGTCTCCCTGCACATGTCTCCGATATTCTCCTCTTGAGTCTTCTTCTTGCTAATTAACATGCTACTTTCTAAGAGTCTTTAAGGAATTTTCTATATGAAGATTGCATTTTACAGCTGTAATAAAAGAAAGGACTTGAGAGTAGGAACCATGCGTTTGCAGAGTTCCCTGTGTACCCTGTCCAGAGCCCACACTCCCAGCCAGAGGGCCACACTGACAGTGTGGAATGGTGCGCTCTCTGTCCCGGGGCATGTGCAGGCACTGTGGGAGCGTCCGCTCTCAGCATTTAGGCTCCTCCTGCTTTGCTTGCGCAGTCACAGGCTTCCTGAACTTCCTCTCCTCTGAGTACTGATTTCTTTAGCATCATCAAACTCTGCCAACCAGAGCCTCAGAAAACCGCATACACAACCATTGAAGCTTTAGGCATGTCCTGCGCCACAGCCCTGGGGAAGAGACAGAGCTCCCTCCAAAAGAACAGGCCCTGTTTCAAGTTTTGATTTCTGAAATCAATACTTGCTCATGAATAAAGCATTTAAAATCTGGAAGTTTCTAAACATGAAGCTCAGGGCATGAACAGAGCCATCCCTAATGGCATGTGTTTCTTTCACTGTGCTTTGTATTTTTTGAGTGTCTACCATATGCTCAGAAGATAACAGATTCCTTCTATCAGAGGTCTCAACCATGCAGTTTGCACTGGGTATGATCTTTTAAATCTGATTCCTTGCCACACAGTGACATGCAAACTGTTGGCCTTGAATACAGATGGCAGGTGGAATGGTTTCACAGGAGGAACTTACAAGTTGCCAAGAAAGGGGATGCTCCACTGTTGTTCTGAGTCTGTCCTCAGTCTTCAGAGCTTGACCTGGCTACCTCAGGGCTCCAGAGTATCAGGCAGATGGAAAGGGTTCCAAAGGTACAACAGTCAGAGAAGTAAGCTATGGTCTGGAATTCAAGTGTTATGGGGAAAAGGAGGCTCAGAGCCATACTGCTGTGAGTTCATCCAGGTCAGAACTTCAAGTGAAGCAGACTCCATGCCTGTGCTTATCACCCAACAAAAGTAGGGAAAGGGGTGTCCACAGCCTTCTCTTATCCCAATGTGCATTTTCACCCTATCACAGCTAAGAGTCCATGTATATGCTGCTCATGGGGCTGCGAGGCTGGAAGACCCCAGGCAGCCTTCTTGAAGTGCCTATTATGGTCTCAGAGGTCCCGGGTCTATGTTACTCAGCATCAGTGGAGAAGAAGTCTGTTAGCATCTTGGAAGTTCTCAGAACAGAACTACTTTTTTTTTTTTTTTTTTTTGTCTTTTTGAGTCAGGGTCTCGCTATGCAGTTCAGGCTGGCCTTGAGCTCACTTTGTACTCCAGGCTGGCCTCGAACTCACAATGATTCTCCTGCCTCAGCCTCCCAAGTGCCGGGATTACAGGCGTGCGCCACCATGCCTGGCTACTCTTGCATCCAAAGCTAGAATATGGTCTGAGGCAGACAGGATGCAGCTGAACAGAGAGGAAGTCATAAGGGCAGGTGTAGCAGTTTTGAGAGAAGAAGCCTCCCTGCTTTGAAGACACTCTGCTGCAGGTTGCTTGATGAGCAGAATCCCATGAGGCCGGACTGCTGGATTCCTTCCCACTCTGCTCTTTGCAGGATCAATTTATTTCACAGATTCCTCCATCCTGGTTTTCTTTCTAGTTGTTACTTAAAGCTGACAGATGAGTATCTGAGGGTCTGCTTGGGATGTGGAGGCGTCTGGTGCCTTTCCACTTAACTCTCAGCCTTGCTGGCTACCACCACAGCAGTCTTGGGCTCATCTGATCCGAGTGCACTGGGTTCCCAGGGAGTAAAGGATTTCTTCCCTAGTTTTCCAGCTTCAGCTGGACCAAGAGCCTATGTCTTATCTCAGAATTTTAAGCGTCCTTTTAAAATCTGGAGGTAGTGCTGAAAGTTAGAGCAACTTGCAATGATCTCAGTCCTGCTATTCTGGCCACAGGAATCTGAGTGAGCTACTAAACTTCTTTCTCTGTGATCATTCCTCTACCTGTCCCAGTTCCCTCGAGCACACTCCACCTGTCAGTATTGTGAGGAAAATCTCTCCTTTCCAAGAGGGAGGTTGGTCTCCACAGGGTGGCTGGCCCCAGGGTGAGCCAGAAATAGGCTCTTGGTGCTTGCAAACACAAGGAAAGAAGTCTAGAGCAGCTGAGAGCTGGTGCCAGTGTGGCCAGCTGCTTCCCTGGGAAAGCCGAGTTACGAGCTGTAGTGTTAATGCGCTTCTGCCCTTAATAATGCCTCAGAGGCTGGAAAGCAGCTTGTAAATAGTGGGAGGAACATATTCAACTCCACATGGAAAGTGATTCAATTACTCTCCCCTGTCACACCGGCTGTTCCTAAAAGGCTGAAATCAACCAGCTCCTGCTGCAAGCTCATCTGCCCAGTCATGCTACTCTCTCCAGGCTGTCTTGGAAAGATTCCAAATTAGGTGAATACAATTCTTGTATTGTCTCCCATCTGTAAGAAGCCAGGTTCTATCTGGATGAGCATTAAGAGAAGATCCAGTTCTTTGTCCATTTCTCCCCCAGACAGGTATGGAATCAATCAACATGCGCACTGCACCACTCCCTATCCTATGCACAGGCTTCCAATGAGTATTCATACCACAAGTCACGGCATGACTCATTTCCATCTGCCTCCATCAGACAGGTGTGTGGTGGAAAGAGACCTCCACAGGGGATTTTGTTCACTGAGACGGAATCCCTTCCAGTATTCATACACAGAGCACATGCCTTCCGGCACACAACCACCACACCCCCATCCCTCTTCTCTCCTGTCTGGGAAATCTCTTTCTTTTTTTTTTTTTTGGTTTTTCTCCGGTACCAGGAACCGAACTCACGACCTTGCGCTTGCCAGGCAGGCGCTTTGCCGCTAAGCTAAATCCCCAGCCCCGGAAATCTCTTTCTTAAGAAGGACAGGTACAAGCTAGCCAGTGTCTATTCTTCACAAGACAGGAGAATTTTGAAAGGAAAGCTGCCTATATCCTATGCTTCTTTTCTCTGTGCCCACCCTCTGTGCTCAGAAGAGTTTGGTTGGATTTAAATTGCCCTTGGTCATTGAGCTAAAAGGCAATGTAGAAATAAATATTGGTTGAGTCATTTACTCCAGGGATACTGCTGCACATCTACTAGGAGGTGTCCTGGCTGGGTCAGAGGCTTAGGGGAACACAATGATCAAGACAGACATACTACCTCTCCTTACAAAGCTTCTGGTCTCATACAGGAGACAAAAATCAACTAGAAGTGCAATGAGGGGCACAGTAAGGAAGGCTCCAATGATTTATTGTTGCTAACAGGGTTAAACTTTTTCAGCTTTAGTCCTCTTCTATCTTTGTATTGATTTAAATTTGTAATACAGTCTTTAAGTGCCGGCCACACCTGGCGGGGCATCGTGGTGGATGAAAGACATGGTCTCTCCTGTTGAGACAGCAACATAGAGGGACAGCCCCCATTCAGTGCTGGAAGCTGGAAGGAAAGCTGGAGCCAGGCGGTGGAAACAGTGAGGAATTCCTAAGTCAGACTGAGGGTGTAGAAAGGGATGGAGCTCATCTGCCAGGACGGTTCCACAAGGAGATGGACAAAACCACCCACAGGACTGCCTCTATCCAGAATGGCTGTTCACCTCAAAAAGAACCTTGTATGATAAGGTTACAAGCAACAGTAATAATCTCTAAGTGAATAATGTAAGACATTCTAATTACGTTTTAGAGCTAGGCAATTTTTAAAAAATTGAACAGATAATGTATTAAAAACTTGATTTTTTTACAGATACTTAAATAATGCATTCAAAGTAAGCTTCTAATTAGATTCTCAAATTATTATAGGGTAGAAACTTTTTTATCTTAGTCACAATATTTATGAAAGCCCCATAGTGCTAGGATGAATCATACAATAGCTGAGCTGAAATCTTCCTTGCTTTAATTTCAAAAAAGAACTGCTCAGTAAATTAATAATATGTACAAAAATATGACAGGGGATATTTCAATCACTTAAAGGCAGACAATATATTTAGCACATAAGGAGCATTAAAAGAAAGAAGTATTAAAAAATAACCAAGATGCAAAAATGCAAAACATATTTCCATAACCATCAAAATAAGTCGCTTGGAAACTCTTATGGGAAGCATTTTATTATGATAAGTAAACCTAATCAGAGCAACATAAGTGGTATAGCCACTAGAGTTGACAAAGTTCAATTATATAAGTCGATTCAACTGTTTCTCACAAGAATCCTTTAAGGTTGATACCATGACTTCCATTTTACAGATGAAGAAGCAGACACTCTGATTATGTGAAGTGCTCATATTTACAACAGAGAAGGGCCAATAAGGAAGAAGAGAAGGAGGAAACCAAGAAAAGAAATGTCAAGAGGGTAAAAAGCATGTGGTAGGCTTTATTAGTCTTCTGTAAGTGAGAAAGAACAAAAAAGTGTCCACTGAATTTGGAAGTTAAGAAATCAGCAGTGACATTAAAAAGCACAAATTCTTCTGTGTGTGAGAGGATAAAGTTTTGCCCTAGAGGTTACTCTGTCCATTAGCTT